CTCCCCGTAACTAGAACGTTTTATATTTAGGTCTATGTAAATCCGCTACTATGATGTTTATGCAGTATTTCATTATTCTGAACACTTTTCTTATTTTCTTGTTTTGAGTATGTGTTAAAGCCACGGAACTAAGATTCCGAATTTTGGACTAGTACTTCACTATGTTGCGTATGTTCAATCGAATGGTTATATTTATTATTCATATGGTTGTTATTTCATATTCTTCTCCTTTCATAAGTCATTTAAAACACAATCCAATACATATTACGATGAAGTCAAAAAATTTGAAATCTGAAATATTTGTATCATACATAATACGCAATACAAATGTTGGTACTGTCAATTGTTTTGTCAATACAAAAAAGACAACCTAATTACATACAAAATTATATAAAGTAGTGGTTAACATACCATTCGTAATGCATTATGACCAACAAAAAAAAAAACTCGATTCAACTTTATGCAGTACACATATGATTTCATCTATGTACGCCTTATGTTGAGCAAAACAAGTTACAACACAACCAGGAAATAAAAAAGTAAAGCAGCCACTGATACCGAAGCCGCCCAGAAAACTAAACGGGCCGACGTATTAGTTACCCGGTTCTCGCCATTCCCATCAATGTGTTGCTGCAATTGGGATTCCAATTCCGATATTTTGTTAACCAACACGGAGACTTCCAATGGAATCTGCGCCTCCAAATAGTTTATTCTCTTGAGCAAGCCTGGTATAATTTGCTTCGATCTATCACACATTTCAGGATCACACCAATTAAAAAAACGACAACCATTAACCTGAAATTGTATGTTCAATTCATTAGCATCAAACATATTGTATGAATATGAACTAAAAATTAAAATAATTCACTACATTACGAACTAATGTTTAAATTATTCATTACATTACGACACCAGATTAGCGGCTTTGAAATTTTCAGTTGTAATAATTAAGAACAAGGCATTTAATACGACACCAGATAATTCATTACATAAACCAAAATCTTAATATATTGTTTCAATATTGAAGAACCACTTAATAACAGTAACAAACAATCGCGATAGTCATTCTCTGGTTTTAACTTGTAACCCAACACATGCCCAACATCAAAATCGCATTCATTAAGGTTGAGTAATACAAAAACCTAATTAGTTAAAATAAAACCATAAATTTTGAGTTAATGGGAAAAGAAATTACCCCCCTTTGAGGGCAAGATACGAACCGTCATCCTGGGTTTGTATCTGTCCATGAAGTTTGTACGACGACCATGTACCCGCAATCGCAATATTTTGGCACTTCCCGATTTATCTTGACTCCGTTGAAATTGTTGCTACTCGTTTTCCGGTGAGAGCTACTACTACCAGAACTCATGATGATGTAACGAATTCAACGATTCAACTCGATTCAATGGTAGATTTATATTTCACCGATTACCAATTTAGGGTTGAAAATTATGGCAGGAATTGCAGATGGTTGGGGCTATGTGAAAACATGAGATGAAACAGAAAATCGATATATATATTATTCAATATGTCAAGGGTTTTACGGAAATTACCAATTTAATATCTTTAAATCAACTATACAAAACAGCGTATTGTTGGTCTCGGGATTATCAGTACCGAGATAATACCACGAACCAAATGTCATAGTAAGTGTAACTTGTCAACACTCCTATCTCAATATTAACCATCCCATCTCTCTCTATATTTCGAAGCCCTCCAACCAAAGAGGCCCCGAGAGTCTATCCAAAATATTGTAATGTCTGAAGCTGAATATCTCAAAAAAAAAAAAAATTAAAAAAATCTTAATTTTGTTAACTAAAAGACTTTTAAAATATTTACATTTAATATCAGAATCTAATAAATTTAGTATAAGATTTAATCTAACGAATCAAACATATAGGTAAAGAAACGAGCCTCTCTCGTGCTTCAGCTTGTTCCATAATCCATGAGGATGCGGATGGTATTTGCCTCCCCTTCAATTTGGCTACTGGTGCCTAATATAATTTACTACTTGATACCCCCAAATAAAAAATAAAAATAAAAATTCTTTAAAATACTTTTAACTGAAGTTTGGAGATGAACTTCAAGAGATGAGTGTATAGTTCAATTTCTCATTCATTATCAAAGTGTTTTAGTCAATAAGTATTATTAGTTTAGAACTGAATATTAATAAATAGGGATTACAGAATTTAACGTGTTAAGTGATTTCTTATTGACTTAATTGCTTGTTTATCTTTCTTGCAAAATCACTTAACATTGTTATGTGACACACTCAAAGAGCTCCCGACGATTACACTCCGACGCTTAAATAAGATGATGCCGCATGTCGATAATTAATTCAATGCTTGAAAGCAATTAAGTCAATAAGAAATCATGTACCTTAGAATGTTAATTTAAATAGATAAAATCTCACATGAACTTTTTACTATTTAATCAATATGTGAACGAGCCGAGCTCGCCTCTTTTTGCAGGCTCGAGCTCGAGTCTATTTTGTCGAGTTCGAGCTCGTCGAGTTCCTTTTTTTTTGGCTTGAGCTCAAAATCATGTCAATGTTATCGTACTCGAGCCCAAGCTCATTTTGTTGTTTTCCTTTTTTTTTTTCTAAATATTTTTTAATTATTATTTTATTATTATTGAAATTTATTTAAAAAAATCACATAATAAACAATAAATTGTAATTATAACCACCTCAACTATAAATATTCTTACACGTCCACCCTTGCGGTTCCAAATTTAGTGGAATCTTCGAGATTATATGTACTTTTTTACCCGTTTTATCCCATTCGAACTCAACATTTTGAAGCAAGATGATCATAATATGTGTTTTTTGGCTTGTATATATAGATTGTGGTGCATCAGAAACTGTATTTTTACACAAAACGAGTACAAACTAGAGCACAATCCACGAAATCAAGATGATTATGTTGAATTTGACACCATAAGGGTGTAGATGTAAGAAAAAATCATAGTTGAGGGGGTAGATGTAATTATCCAAACAAGAGGGTTTTTTTTCGTAAATTGACCCTACCTCAGGGGGGTGTTTCTAATTTACCCTTATTTGTATTTATTTCTATAATATTTTATATTATTCTTTATTAGTTAACTAAAGAATAATATATGAAAAAAATAATAAATAAGGCTCGCGTGCCGGCTCGTGAGCACATGAACAACAAAAAATTGGCTCGAGCTCGGCTCGTCAGAAAACTCAAGCTCGAAAAACTCGAGTTCGAGTTCGAGCTTTTTTCGAGCCGGCTCATCGAGCTCATGAGTCGACTCGACTCGTTTACCACCCCTAAATGTGGGATGGTGATTTCTTTTATTAAATTAAGGAATAAGTCACATCAATATCTATAATTGATATAAGATTACGGAGAAGAAACAAAATATTGAAGGTGTTAAGAGACATTTTTACAAAAACTTTGGGGGTCAAAAGTAATAAAAAAAAATGTAATATGACAAAATACCTAATTATTTTTTATTTTTTTAATCTTGGGGTTCGACAACCACTGTTTTAGAGTGTTTTCAACAGTAAATATTTCATATGCATTAATAGTTAATAGGGGCTTTAAGATATAGGTCCCTTGTGACAAAACTTATTAGAACTAAATGACAAGTCTAACTAAACATTTGCTTCACATCCTTTATAAATTTCATTTCAAAAATGCCCCCACATACAAAAAATGAAATATGTACCAAGTAATATTTAAACTGTATTTATCATTTTTTCATTTTGCATTTAACATTTTTGTTTTTGCATCAAGCATTTTTGTTATTATTTTTTTTCGTAGAACAACTTTTTTATTTTTGCATTTTCGTATTTTTTTCCTTTTTTTTTCTACATAATATTGAAAATTATGATTTTTTAATTTTCTTCGGCCATAGTCTTCTATAAAATCCATAGGAAAATCCATAGGAAACCGTAGTAGTCTGTAGTCATGTATAGAGACTCATAGAAAACTGATGTAATCCGTAGTCACGTATTTTTAAAAACCCTAATTCCTCCTTTGAACTCTAGCCGCCAGAAACCATAGATACCCTCATAGACATCTATAGACATGAAATCGAAAAATCTTAGATCCGCCCCACCAAACCCTAGATCTGCAACGCCACCATCACCGCGCCGCTAAAAATACCACAAACCCCACCCAACCATTTCTGTCAGCCAAAAATTACTTATAAAAATAATCCAAATCAACCCAAAAACAAGTAACTAACACTATAATGCAAAAGGAACGACTACTAGCTGGATAAAACCGGAAAAAGAAAAAAGAAAAAAAAAGAAGAAAGAAAAAAAAATGGCCATAAGCAGCAGTCTTGAAGAACGATCCCCTCTCCCAAAGCCTACATACATCAATTTCATACCAAAAAACACCATTGCCGTCGGAGGAAATCACCGCCATCACCATCAACCATAAGCACCGCCGCCCCTCAACTACCAGAACTACCGCCGCCGCCACCAGCAATCAGAACCGCCGCTGCCGCCCCCTCCAGCAACCAGAACTACCGCCGCTGCCGCCAACAACCAGAAAAACCGCCGCCCACATCAAGATCCTCATAGCCATCCCACCATAATTGAGAGAAAGAGAAAAGAGAGAGATTAAGAGAGAGCAGGCAGGAGAGCGAGAGAAAAGAACCGAGAGAAAAGAACCGAGAGAAAGAGAGAGAATTGAAAAAGAGAAACAGATCTGATTTAGAGAACGTGAATAGAGGTTATATTTAGGGTATAAGGGTAAATTAGGAATAAAAAAAATTTAGCATGTGAGTCATATTATATTTTAACATAAGGGTGTATTTAAAAAAATTAGTTTGAGGTTGCTATTTAGTTCTAATTAAATTTGGTAGAAGGGACCTAAGCATACTAACCTCTAGTTAGATATACCAAAATTCAAAATGCAATTACTATGTCGGAGGGGGAGAAGATGAGCGCCAAAATGGTTATCACGTGCCAAACACGTGCATTTCCAAGGGCTAAATTGATTTTCAAAATACATAAACCAAACACGCCCCAACTTCATTTCGCCTTTTCGTATACTTCAGTGCCTTTTGTAGTTCAATTTAGCTTCGAACTTGAATATTCTGTAATTGGAAAAAGCTCTAATAATCTGAGTGAGAGAGAGAGTATGGCGATAATGGAGGAAGATTCGCCGAAACGGCGTCGTGTTGGGCTGGTATACGACGACAGAATGTGCAAACATGCAGACCCAGATGATGACGACCACGATGAAAAACCCAATCGCATTCGCGCCATTTGGGACAAGCTCAACGCCTCTGGCCTTGCTCAACGGACTGCGTTTCTCTCTCTCTCTCTCTCTCTCTCTCTCTCTCTCTCTCTCTCTCTGTGTGTGTGTGTGTGTGTGTGTGTGTTGTTCTGTATAATTTTTTTCCATTATGTTTAATGGTATATGTTTTTGTGCCATTTGTTTCGATTTTTTTCGCTGTTTTGTAGGTTATGTTGTTGTGGTTAATGATTCTGATTTAGGCATAGGGATTTCTGTGTAGCTGTTATTTTTGTGTGATTTTTATTTCCAGTTTTGAAATTGAGGATTTATTAGAGCAGGATGAAGATTAAAAACGTGCTTTTTCACTCAAAAATATTTTGTTGATTTTTTTTATCCTCACCAAAAAAAATCTGAATTTGTATACTAACAAATGATTTCGATTTTTCAGATGTATTGTTTTAAAGGCTAAGGAAGCAAAGGATAATCATTTAGCTCTGGTCCACTCCGCAAAGCACATTCAATTGATTAAGAACATTAGTTCGAGAAAGAATTCAACAATGAAGAGAACTGCCGAAAGATTTGACTCTATTTATTTCAACGAAGGCTCGTCAGAAGCTTCTTCTCTTGCCGCAGGCTCTGTCATACAGGTTGGTTCTAGATCGTTTCTTGTTTTATTTAAAATAACTCATATTAACAAATAATTAAAAAAAAAAACTAACAACATTCTTCCGTAAATCTGCTTTCGTAGGCTGCAGAAAAAGTTGCTAAAGGAGAACTCGATTCTGCATTTGCTATTGTAAGGCCTCCAGGTCATCATGCTGAAGAAGCTGAACCGATGGGTTTTTGCCTGTACAACAATATTGCTATTGCAGCTAGTTTTCTTTTGAACAGAAGAGTGAGATCTAGTTTTTTTTTTTCTTGAAAATAAATCGGATGCTTACATATACTTTTGTTTTTACCTGCATCATTAAATTGACATTTCGCTCTGTTGTACATTGTAGCCAAAGTTGGGTGTCGGCAAAATATTGATTGTGGATTGGGATGTACATCATGGAAATGGTACTCAGAAGATGTTCTACGAAGATCCCCGAGTACTTACCTTCTCCGTACATAGGTATTGATTATTAAAATGAATATTTACGTTAAAATCTAAAACTGTGAAAATATTGTTCGAAAAAAAAAAAAAAACTGAAGAAAATTCACCGGATCTTGAATTTGATTATAGCGACTGAAAGTATAAGTATTTGGACAAACTGGAAGAATAAAGTGATCTCTTCAATCTTGAACATTACTATGTTGTACAATATCATAACCATCTTTTAATTTATTTTACGTATCCTAAACATTGTGTTTTACTGAAAAACAATGAATGAAGTTAGCAGTAGAAGCGTGTTTGTGCTTCCTAGTTTAATTATAATTATGTGCGATTTTTTGCAGTTTACATTATTTTGCTATTGCCGCTATATTTATCTTATTCATACATTTGATATTGTTTTTATAGAAATAATTAGGGGTTTTATGAAAATTGTCACTTGCAAATTACATCTTGCATATTTCTTTAACGGGTTAAATAAACTAAGAATCTAAGAAAGTCTCATATATCCACTTACATAACATCAAGACTTTGTGACAAAAATAAATTGTGTCTCGATCAGGCATGATTCTGGGGAATTCTATCCATATGGTAATGACGGGTCGTATAGCATGATCGGAGAAGGGGCAGGTGCTGGATACAATATCAATGTACCTTGGGAAAATGATTCGTGCGGAGATGCTGATTATTTTGCCGTGTGGGACCATATATTAATTCCCGTTGCTAAGAAATTCAATCCTGACATGATAATGGTCGCGGCAGGATTTGACGCAGGTTAGCTGGAACTTTCCTAATAAATTGCCGTCAATCAATTTTAATGCACATTTTGCATCGTCGTGCACTTCCGTATGTATTTAATATTAAACAAAAATAATTTTACGCCTTTCCATTACTCATGCATGCATACGTAGATTCCCGATCGTCTTTATTTGTTATCGATTCAGATTAATACTATTTACGTTGTTGATTTGAACAGCCTTAGGCGATCCTCTTGGAGGCTGTTGTCTTAGTCCGTACGCATATTCAGTTATGCTCCGCAAGGTTTGAGCTTCACCATTTTCATAAATGTTAAATATCTCGTGTTTTTTTTATCATTTCTTTATTATCTCCTTTTAAACTATAATATTTGACTCGACATTATTTAAATAGTTTACTTATTGGCTGCTGTTGATGTTTTATTATTTAGTTGATGGATATTTCGAGGGGTAAGAAGATTGTTTTGGCACTCGAAGGAGGATATGATCCCGTTTCGTTAGCAAATTCAACTCAAGCTTGTGTCGAAGTATTACTACAAGACAAGCCTCGTACTAGGTCCTCGGTGGATCTTCCACTTAAATCCACAGCACTTGTGATACGAACAGTAAGTACTTACGTTTCTCCATTGTTTATTAAGTGATAATAAGATTTTTTTTAATTATTTGTTTCTTAAATATAAATGTTATTTTGCTTAGGTACGTCAAGCGTTAAGCAGATATTGGCCGGTTCTTGCTTCTGAGTTGACGGACGAAGTAATCAATAGCAGTCGCAGACCATCATCACAAACTGAGGTCCAACTTTTGCTTGTGCAATGCTGCTAAGGATGTTCGAAGTTAAAATAATATATTTCGAGACTATGCAATTTCATTTTTTTTTTTTCCGAAGTTGATGTTGGGATTCCGCATTTTTATCCAGGATGTAGCGGATACCTCCACCGCTTGTGTGAAACTGAATTCAAAAGTTGAACAAGTTCGTAGTGCTGAGAGAAAAAATGACAAAAAAAGGAACGTAGCAGGTAATTCTTTGCAATGTATAACTTGTTCTTCTATTTGGCCAACAATATCTCTTTTTGTACATCACCAACATATTCTAAATTCGAGATTGCATGTAAATCATAAAATTTTGTTTTTTCGTTGAAGGTGAGCTCGTGCTTAAGTTCATGAAAGAGCAATGCTTGGCCGTCAAACACGGAGAAAAAAACACCTCCTCATTCGCGGGACCCACAGGGACCAAGCTCCAGCCCCCCAAGGCTCCTGTAGCTGACCCCCAAAAGGGTGGAAGCCCCCCCAAGCGTCCTCGATGTTCGAGCAAAGATCCCAAAAAGATTCTCCAATGCATGAGGGAATCTGCCTTCCAACGAGATAAAGAAATCGTTTCAGAGATGTCACCCGAGGAGCACTGTGCTCAGATCGCTTATCACACCGCAAAGGTAAAAAAAACAAAACAATGCAATAAACTCCCACTTTCTTATTACTATTTTTCCCAACGTTTTGGTTCAGCTTTCCGCAATGGCCACCGCACGCCGTTCCGATCGAACTCGCGCGCTCGAGGAGGAGCGGCGAAAAGCTGTGGAGGAGGTGGAATCATTCAAGGCCAAATGCTCGTCGCTGGAAGATGAGGTGGCACGAACTAAGGAAGAGTTGGCAAAATCCGTCAAGAAAAACGAGAGCGTTCGGGCCAAGAGCTACAACAAAGGGTTCAGTGACCTTGTGCGCTCCACCGAATTCCGGCATGTGATGGAGCTGTACGCTGAGGCCCTTATGAATGCATATCGCAACTCGACGTTGTTTCTGAGCAAGCTGGCTGAAGTGGCGCGGTTCAACTATTTAGAAGCCTTTGGCCTCTGTCAGGAGAAGATTCGCAAGGCTGGTTCGGATTTAGTGCTGGATCCGATAGCGTGCATGGACAAGCTTACGGTGGAAGATTTGCCAGCTCATGACTGGAACGGCAACCCGGACGAGCCGGTGGATTATCCGTGGTGGGACGGGATTTACGAGAAAGTTGTCGATGATTATTTCAAAGAGAAGAAGGCAAGTGGTTCCTAGGAGTAGTAGTTCAAATGTAAATGAAATGATTTGTCATATATGATAAAAGACTATACTATATGGCATTGTTTTGTAAACTTCACTTTTGACGTCTGACTATTAATTTATTAATTATGATAATATATTAGGTTAATTATATTTTTGGAATATTGACTATATACAAATAATTCAATACTTTGTTTGCTTAATACTTTGTTTGCTTAATGCTATTGAACTCTATTAACTAAATAGTTGGGTTCCCCTGCGATTAATGTTGTAAGGGGTGATTAAAAAAGGAAAGAACATTTTTGTGCTTAAAACAATATCTTAAACTTTTGTGCATAAAACAATTTTGTGCTATTATTTGGTAAAGTTAGTAGCATCCAGTCATGTACTTGAAGCTAAAGATGTAGTGAATTTTACAATTTTAAAATTAGTAGCACCAACGAGATTGCACGGCTTTCACTTAAAGGTCTTCATTCCTTTACAATTTTCCGGGAGTCTATCCAAAATATTGTAATATCTGAAGCTGAATTCTAATAAAATCGTATTTTTTATCTCTAAAAAAAAATCTTAATTTTGTTAATTAAAAGACTTTTAAAATATTTACATTTAATATCAGAATTTAATAAATTTTGCACAAGATTTAATCCAACGAATCAAACATACAGGTGAAAAAACGAGCCTCACTCGTGTTGCTTGTTCCATAAACCATGAGGATGCGGATGGTATTTGCCTCCCCTTGAATTTGGCTAGTGGTGCCTAATATAATTTACTGAAATGCTATTCATACAACAACTTTTACCGGCATGCAGTGCGACTTTATTTCATTTGTAACTTTTCTTCAAAAAATTCAAAATCCTCTCAAACCCTATCCAAGGTCCTTCGAATTCTTGCAGATTAAACGAGCAATTCAACAACGATTTAAGGTAAAATTCGAACTCGAAATCGTTAACCCAGTGTTTTATAGTAGTATATTAACAAATTTCGTCGAAAATCTATACGTTTTCAGTATTTTGAAAACATTCGAAACTTTTCGGAAAAAAATTGCGTTTCGTGTAAGAACTCACGAAATTAAGGGGCTAATTTCGTGATTTTTTCCACGAAATTAGCTTAATTGTTTGTTTTTCTTACGTTTCGTGCAAAATCATACGAAACAAAAGCTTACATTTCGTGAGATTTCTCACGAAATGTAAGCTTTTGTTTCGTATAATTTTGCACGAAACATATGTATTTTGGCAATTTTACTGTTATTTCGTGGAAAAACACACGAAATTAGTGCTTGTATTTCGTGAGTTCTTACATGAAATGTAAGCATTAGTTTCGTGTGTTTTCCACGAAATAGCATTCAGTTTTTTTTTTTAAGATTTGTTTTATTTATTATTATTATTTAGACTGACGTTAATAGTGTTTTATTTAACATATGGCAGACAAAGGGAAATCAAAAACAATTATGCGAGCAGTTGTGAAGAGGCTGAACATCAAGAGCGCGAGCGCATGACTATGTCTACACGACGTAGGCGAGAGGCTGAGAGAGCTGGTGAAGCCAGATCATCAGTTCCACATCCCGATGTTGGGTCTTCTCGTGCTATGGAGGAGGAGGAAGAGGATGATGCTGTGGACCCCGTTCACGAGACTGAGGTTGTAGCTCGTGGAGGTCGTGGAGGCCGAGGACAGGGCCGTGGAGGTCGTGGTGGTCGAGCTCATACTCGAGTCAATCCGGATGTGCTAGATGGTCCATTTCCCGGTGGCCCGCGGGATCCGTCTTTGATTCCGAGTTTCAATTCGCACGTAGCGGCATATATTTGAAGGGGAGAAGTAAGTTAATTACTTGTTTTAATTTTAATATTATATTTTTTGTATCTTATATTAAAATACTTTTATAGTTGATTAATTAATATGTTTTCTAAATAAATGATTGCAGGAACGTCCGGTTGGACGAGTAGAGTCCCGTATCAACTCCCTGAACCAATTCAACTACGAGAAGATAACAGCTGCCCTAGAAGACATAGATGTATCCGTAGACAAGCATTTTCTGCGGATGACCGGTTTGTATCCCCTAGCCCGATGTTATTTACCGGGCCTAGATGCTCCGTTATTGTTTGCATTCGTGGAGCGGTGGCAGCCGGAGACGAACAACTTCCATATGCCGTGGGAAGAGATGACTATCACTCTCCACGATGTCCAGATGATTCTATGTGCCAATGTGGAGGGACGGGTGGTTGCGCCTAGGTACGACGAGGTCATCGAGCGGACAAACTGCGTGTATTTGCTGGCCGAGGTATTAAACCTCGAGTTTGAGGAGATTAACGAGTCATGGAAGCATGGGGGCCCCACATGGAGGATGATACATGGACATTTGTTGATGCCCGACACGCCCATGAGACGCCGAGTTCAGATATACCTGGTGTTTCTCCTCGGATCGATTTTATTCCCCGACATGACATGTGATCGGGTGAAGCCGTGGTATATGCACGTGCTCGAGGATTCAGTGCTTGATCAGGTCGGCACGTATTTGTGGGGTTCGGCCTGTTTGGCCAATCTATACAGAAAGTTGGGTATATGCAGCCGAGCACAGTCGAGGGGCTTCGCGGGTTGCACCACCCTTCTTCAGGTAAATTTTAATATATTTTGTACTTATTTTGTTCATTTTAATATATTTTAATAAATTTTAATATATTTTGTAAATTTTAATATATTTTAATAAATTTTAATATCTTTAAATAAAATATTGTAGGGCTGGATATACGAGTATTTCCCGAGATTCCAGTCGCCGGAGGAGAGCGAGCGCTACCGCGAGTTTCAGCCTCGATGCAAGAGGTGGAACGCGCCGCAAAAAACGGGCGCGCTCGAGCATATTAGAGGTTTACTCGGCAATATGACAGCGGATGATGTAAGTCTTTTATATTTATGTATTTATATTTTTTTAAATATGAATTTTTCGGTTTATATTTGTAGTTTGTTTAAATATGATTTTTTTGATTTATGTATTTATATTGTTTTCTGTTTAGGTCGAGTGGCTACCGTATGGTCGGGATATACACGAGAGTATCCCTCATACGTTGTAGTCGGGATATACACGAGAGTATCCCTCGTACGTTGTATCATGGCACGATCCAGTACATGTGGGTCGTAGAGCCGTATATGCCTGATCGTTGCGTTTGACAGTTCGGGTGGGTTCAGGATATTCCGCGCGGCTTGATTCCATCGATGGAGCCATGTTCACGCGGTCCCAAAGGAGGTACATCGTACAAAGTCAACTACCCATTTCCGGGTGGTATGTGGGACATGGTCCAGACTCATTCCATTCGTGCCAACGCATACAAGACGGCACGACAACATGGGGAAGTCGACGAGCACTACATGGAGTGGTACACCGATCGGACTCATCTGAAGATCAACAACCCCGACGTAGGCCCGGCTCCAGTGCATCGAGAGAATGTGAGGCCACCAGATCAGCCGGCTTATTACCACATAGTACGTGCATTGTACCCGATCACCAGGAGCACTGGACATGACTGGATGCAGCAGTTTTCCGATCTACGTACCGATCTTGGAGATATTATGCAGCCCGCTGCCCGATATATTGGCATCGAGATGACAACGACAACGACGACGACGATGACGACGACGATCATGAGGTGCAGCCGCCGAGAAGAGCGAGGCGGTAGTTTATCGATTTTTTTTGCCAGTTACGTATTTTTATGAACTATTTAATTTTAAAGTTTATTTTTATTATTATTAGGACTATGCATTTTTATTATTGTTAGGAACTATTTAATTTAATAATTTGTTTTTATTTTTATTAGGAACTAATTATTTTACTAATCTTGTTTATTATTATTACGAATTATTTAATTTACTAGTTTGTTGTTTTGTATTTTAATTCACTAGTTTTATGATTTGAATTTAGAAACTACGTACAACTGAAGCAATTAAAGTACACATTTAAACAACCTTACAAATTTAATCATTCCAAAAACATAGGTTAAACATATAAAATGCAAAACACAACGCTACAAATTTAAATATTCCAAAACATAAATTAAACCTTAAAATGTAAAATTAAAACAAATATAAATTTAAACATAAGTTAAACTTTCAAATATCCGGCAGATGGTTATGATTACTATTACTCACACTCAATCGCCATAATCCATCCTCCGTTGATTTTTTGCCAATTAACCTGAACGGACAAGAACGTTTCTTCAATAGTACGTGTCGTCCAGATTGATATCTTGCACACGTTAAAACATGATATTTTTCTGATTTACAATGATTAATCAGTCGATGATTATGACTAATTGTTGTGTCTTTTGCACACATAATTAACGCTTCTCTACTATCACACACAATACCACGTTCAAAGAAGTGACTATGATCGTGAGATTGTTCTCTTAGTTCCTGCATAAATATTTAAAATTAAAAGACAATATTTAAGCGGATTTCGTAGAAAAAACACACGAAAATGTTCAAGCTAGCAATTTCGTGTAAACCACACGAAATAAGAGCTTCCATTTCGTAGGTTTTACTACGAAATGTAAGCTTTAATTTCGTTAATTGTCTACGAAACAAACAACAAACGATTTTAAGACATATTTCGTATAGTATTACACGAAATGAAAGCATATATTTCGTGTGTTATAACACGAAATGTCTAAAAACGTTGGAAATGAACAAAAACCGTGTATTTTCACCTCAAAATCGAAGCCGTTGTCATCCATGTCGATAATACTTGTGCTCTAATTGATATAGGTCGAAAAATTACTGAAATTGAAAAATTTCAAGAATTAAAGGTTGAGAGTGTTTGAGATAGGATTTGGATAAGATTTGGAAAAGAAAAAAAAAAGAATTATTTTGCACTGCGAGTGGTAAAAACCGCACTAATAATAGCAAACCCCTATAATTTACTACTTGATATCCCCAAAAAAAAAATTCTTTTAATACTTTTAACTGAAGTTGGAGATGAACTTCAAGTGATGAGTGTATAGTTCAATTTCTCATTCATTATCAAAGTGTTTTAGTCAATAAGTATTATTTGTTTAGAACTGAATATTAGTAAATAGGGATTACAGAATTTAACGTGTTAAGTGATTTTCTATTGACTTAATTGCTTGTTCGTCTTTCTTGCAAAATCACTTAACATGTTATGTGACACTCTCAAAGAGTTACCGACGATTATACTCCGACACTTAAGTCAGATCATGTTGATAATTAATTATGTTTGAAAGCAATTAAGTCAATAAGAAATCATGTACCTTAAAAAGTTAATTATACTTGAAGATTAAATAGATAAAAGCTCACATGAACTTTTTACTATTTAATCAATGTGGGTAGGGGTGTGAACGAGCCGAGCTCGCCTCTTTTCGCACGCTCGAGCTCATCGAGTTCCTTCTTTTTTTAGCTCGTGCTCGAGCTCGTGTCAATTTTGTCGAGCTCGAGCCCAAGCTCATTTTGTTGTTTTCCTTTTCTTTTTTCTAAATATTGTTTTAATTATTATTAAAATTTATTTAAAAAAATTACAAAATAAACAATAAATTGTAATTATATATATATTTTTTAATATTTATATTTTATTTTTAGGGTAAATTACAACCACCCTTGAGGTATGGTTAAATTACAAAAATCCCCTCTTGTTTGGGTAATTACAACCACTCCCTCAACTATAAATTTTCTTACACGTCCACCCTTGCGGTTTCAAATTTAGTGTAATCTTCAAGATTATATGCACTTTTATACCCGTTTTATCCCATTTGAACTCCACATTTTGAAGCAGGATGATCATAATATGTGTTTTGACTTGCATATATCAGATTGTGGTGCATCATAAACTGTACTTTTACAAAAAACGAGTACATTCCACGAAATCTAAATGATTATGTTGAATTTGACACCATAAGGGTGGAGATGTAAGAAAAAATCATAGTTGAGGGCGGCGTTTGTAATTTACCCTTATTTTTATTTATTTCTACAATATTTTATATTATTCTACATTATTTAAATAAAAAATAATATATAAAAAATAATAAATAAGGCTCGCTTGTCGGCTCGTAAGCTCATAAACAACAAAGAACTGGCTCGAGCTCGGCTCGTTAGAAAGGTCAAGCTCGAAAAACTCGAGTTTGAGTTCGAGCTTTTTTCGAGCCGGCTCATCGAGCTCATGAGTCGGCTCGACTCGTTTACCACCCTTAAATGTGGGATGGTGATTTCTTTTATTAAATTAAGAAATAAGTCACATCAATATCTATAATTGATATAAAGATTATAGAGAAGTAACAAAATATTGAAAGGTTAAGGCACATATTTACAAAAACTTTAGGGTTAAAAGTAATAAAAATAAAATGTAATATGACAAAATACCTAAAAAATAATTTTTTTTTTAATTTTGGGGTTCAACAGCCACTGTTTTAGAGTGTCTTCAACAGTAAATATTTCATATGCATTAATAGTTGATACACCCTTGTGAAAATTCAAAAGGCAATTACTATGTCGGAGGGGGAGGATAAGAGCGCCAAAATGGTTATCACGTGCCAAACACGTGCATTTCCAAGGGCTATAATTGATTTTCAAAATACATTAACCAAACACGCCCCCAACTTCATTTCGCCTTTTCGTATACTTCAGTGGCTTTTGTAGTTCAACAATTTAGCTTCGAACTTGAATATTCTGTAAGTGGAAAAAGCTCTAATAATTTGAGTGAGAGAGAGTATGGCGATAATGGAGGAAGATTCGCCGAAACGGCGTCGTGTTGGGCTGATATACGACGACAGAATGTGCAAACATGCAGACCCAGATGATGACGACCACGATGAAAACCCCAATCGCATTCGCGCCATTTGGGACAAGCTCAACGCCTCTGGCCTTGCTCAACGGTCTGCGTCTCTCTCTCTCTCTCTCTCTCTCTCTCTCTCTCTCTCTCTCTCTCTCTCTCTCTCTCTCTCTCTCTCTCTCTCGCTCTCTCTCTCTCTCTCGCGCGCGCTCTCTCTCTCTCTCTCTCTCTCTCGCTCTCTCTCTCGCTCTCTCTCTCTCTCTCTCTCTCGCTCGCTCTCTCTCGCGCTCTCTCTCTCTCTCGCTCTCTCTCTCTCTCTCTCTCTCTCTCTCTCTCTCTCTCTCTCTCTCTCTCTCTGTATTGTTCTTGTGGTTAATGATTCTGCTTTGGGCGTAGGGGTTTCTGCATAGCTGTTATTTTTGTGTGATTTTTATTTTCAGTTTTGAAATTGAGGATTTATTAGAACATGTGGTTTTTTTACCCAAAAATCTTTATTGATTTTTTTTTACTCTAATAAAAATATTTGTCTATATTTTTCAGTTTTGTGGAAAAAGATGGGAAATTGTTACCATTTGCTTTAGTGAGAAATGATTCTGATTTGTATGAATGATTTCGATTTTTTCAGATGTATAGTTTCAAATGGTAAGGAAGCAAAGGATAATCATTTAGCTTTAGTCCACTCCGAAAAGCACATTAAATTGATTAAGAACATTAGTTCGAGAAAGAATTCAACAATGAAGAGAACAGCTAAAAAAATGGACTCTATTTATTTCAACGAAGGCTCGTCGGAAGCTTCTTCTCTTGCCGCAGGCTCTGTCATACAGGTTTGTACTAGTATGTGCATATATACACTAGATTAATTTTTATTCTGTTTAAACTAACTCATATTAATAAATAAGGGGAAAAAAAACAGGAAAGATTCTAGCATGTCTGAGAAATGGAAATTTACGGAATTCTTGCTTATTAAATACAGATGACCATGTGCCATTGCCACGATCCACTGATTCATATTACATTGAGAAAAGAATGTGCATATTGTTGAAAGTTAATGTAAATTATATGAGTAAATTCATATATCACTGTGAAAAAGGTT